TGCGCAATCGAAACAAGACCTTGTGTTTGATATTTAGATCTAAGATCAAGTTATTAGGTTTTATTCATACAAGATTGTATTTTTTTTTGAGGGGTTAAAATCATCCAATGACTTCTCCCGCCCGGGTGAGACGTCAAACCCAAACTCAAACTCAAAAGCATTTATTTCAATTAAACCATAATTTGGTACTTTTGAAACGTCAACAAATATGAAATAAATAATAGTCTGCAATCTGTCCGTCAGTGAAGCTAGGCGATCGTTCCAAAATGTCGATTCGAGTGAAGAAGAACGAACAAGAAACTCCATTCGTTACTCTTTTAAAAAAAGTCTGTTTTACATTGCTCTGATACATATTCCAATATTGAAACGTCAGAGTCTTACTGACTAAACACCACCCCGTTCCTACTCCTGCACTTCGAGCCGGAGCCCCGGCAACCCGTTAAGTCTTCCGCGGCTCCGTATCAGCATCAGCCGAGGGTGGCTTAAAAGCTGGATAACCGAGTGCTGTGTAATGTTTGGCTTGTGCAATTCCCGTACGTAACAATTCTTCGTCTGTTTCACATGAAAATAGTTTTTTATTGAATAGAAGGCAAACGAGCATACAGATCCCCTGATGGTAAGTGATCAGCGCCGCACATGGAGACCCAATGACACGATCATATTTTAGTCTCTATTTTTATAAGGCTCCTATATGTCCTTCTATGGTCGTAGCGTAATGTTTTATAACCTATAGCCTTCCTCGATAAATGGACTATCCGACACAAAATGGTTTTTTAACCAGAAATTAGCGGTAGGCAGAGATGCACATTACGGCACTTAATGCCACTGCACTATGTAACACCCACTTTTCACCATTTATGTTATGAGTCCTATGTAAAGTCCGGGAATCGAACCCGAGACCCCTTGCCCGGCAGTCGCACTTGCGACCACTCGGCCAACGAGGCAGTCGAGGCAATCTGTTTTAAAACTTAACATCAAAACTCAAACAGCATCCCACGATATCTCCTCATCCCTTGATATTTCTTCCCTTCGCAAAATCAAAACAATATTCATATTAAAACCTGAAAATGGCAGAGGACATGTATGAAAATATATAAGAAATATAACCTGGACGGGACAACGGTTGAATGTGACATCTTACGAAGGAAGCCCTTGTCAGCCATGTTATGTGAAAACTTTCACACTGAGGAAAATTACTGAGAAATAATAATACTGGGTAGTTTTCCTATTTTTCTAACGTTTGTTGTCGCAGCTTTATCTGTGCTGATATTAAAGATTGGGTTTTATAATAGTTTTGAGAGGATTTTCTTTTTTTTTTAAGAGGCGAAAGTCATCGAATGACTGCTCCCGCCTGGGTGAGGCGGGGGGGAGTGTCAGACTCTTACTGACTAAAAACCACCCGGTTCCTTCTCCTGCACGTTGAGCCGGAGCCCCGGTTACCCGTTAGGTTCTCCGCGACAGTTTTGAGAGGATTACGGAACGTTTTATTTTATGTTAATAGCGTTTGTAAATTATTTGTTTTAAAGTACTTTCTCTTTCTTCTTCTTTTTGAGACTTCTGTCTGTTCGTACCTTAAGGTCATCATGCCATTTTTGTTCTGTCAGAATTTATCTTTATGAATTATATTTTCTTACGTATTTAGTTCTTCGTAGAGTTGGTCAGGAATTTTCTTTTCTTTTTTACGTGTATCTGACTTATCCTACATTACTACATATTATTTCATGCAATTTTTTTTATCTCCTATGTTATTTTAAAAAGGAATATAAACATCAGTCTCATGAACTGACCTTGAAAATCATGCTATAAAAGTCTCAGCACTAAAAATAACCAAATCTCCATTTAAAAAATAGAAGTAACAAGTAATTGGCACCTCAGCTCGTTTAAAATTCAGGTGTCCCGTCAGCCGTTATCTGCGTCGGCTGGAATCGAATCCGCACCCGTACAATGGACATGCGTCAACACCTCTGAGACAGACACGCGGACATTTTGCTCCTATTTGTCTTTTAGTTACAGTTTTGTTATTTTATATACTCGTTTGCAGGAGTTTGTTGCTGTTAAGGATAGAATAAGATGTATTAAGGAAGTAGTATGTATTTACATAAAATTAATATTAATTTTGATGTCCTATAATCACTTTCTTGGCCCTAGATTAATTTACAAGAAGCAGTAGAGGACTTAACGGGTTACCGGGGCTCCGGCTCGAAGTGCAGGAGTAAGAACGGGGTGGTTTTTAGTCAGTAAGAGTCTGACACTCCCTCTCGATATACCCGGGCATGAGAAGTTATTTGATGATTTTCCTCCCTCAAAAAGAAAGTCTTCATTCTATGCCTTTAATTTGTGTCACTCACTTAAATCACTAGGTACTTTAGGTTGCAAATGAAATAATTCTTAGAAAGTAGTCACTATAGGATACCATAGGGTGGAAAATTCTAGAAGATACTAGAAAGCCTTCTAACTATATTGTTACAAAACGATTGACAGATTAATTTAAGGTAAGTTTAGATAGTTTGTACGCAAGCGTAGTTATGATAACAAGATTAGTCACCATCTTAATCAAAGAGATGCAAAAATACTAAAAACGATTGTATCAACTGAATAAGATTGTCACTAGGTTCTTAATTTATCTCCAGAATACAACTGAATGAAATTAAATCTGCAACTGTGCCGTCCACCATCCTATAAACCACTCCTCACCTCGTAACTCAGATCTGTATCAGACATTAAGTACACCAGCATAAGGTTCAAGTTCCCTTGCAAGAGCTAGGGTTGTGCTGACTTAGTTAGTAGTTGGTGTTCATTTTGTAAGGTAATCTGATTATTTGTCGTCATGTGTGCGTGGTGATGTGTAACTGTGTTAAGTGATGCTGATTGTATTGAGGCTGAATGCTAAGGAAGGATGTCTAGTATTTGCTGTAGAAATGTTGATTAGGGTGTTAGCAAAAACGTTGTTTTTAATGCTGGCGACATATTGAAATATTGGTGATATTTAGACATGAGATCTTTATTATATGTATAATTACGGGTAGTTGTAGTTTAGTGTAAAGCAGTTTTTGTTGTTTTAAAAAAAAAATTGCGCCCTTCACTAGGGTTTTCTCATATGTCGTGGGTGCGTTTACAAACAAACAAGTTCACATACACATGGCACCCAGACCCGCTACAATAATTTGAAGATCAAACGAACAGTTGTTCCGTGCGGGATTCGAACCTACTACACGTTGCACGGCAGCCAATTACACAGTCATCGCGCCAATCATGTAGTCAATATAGCTTATATTAATCATCATATTATTATTAATTTTTGGTTTAAAATATTTTTAGTGGTGAACTTGTATGTTTGTAAACGCACGAACGATACAGGAAAAACCCTAGAGTGGGGCAAAGTTTAAAAAAATCACAGACATGATACGGTATAAACCACTTTATAATACACCCAAAAATCTCCAAATCAAACCTCAATCCTCCATAAACTAAAGAACAATCGCAATCGCAAACTCCAAGCTTCCACCAATAAGTTCGGTTCGCCCACGTACCCATCGTTCAAGTGTACCATGTACTGTGTACTGGCTCTTTATATGAAAACTAGCTTTTACCCGCGGCTTCACTCACGTCACAAAAGGATAAAAATTACCCTATGTGACACATACACACAGCGCCATCTATACCAATACTTTTGTTTTCCCTCGAGAATATCAAACTTTTCCAGAATAAAAAGTACCCTATTATTTAATCCACACTTCTAACTTTACGTCTGCAAAAATTCTAAGCAATCGGTTTATAATAATAAAGTTTATTTATTCAGATAACTGAGATCCATCGAAATAATAGTAAAGAAAGAACACAATATATAACTATACTTAGATACAATATTAATATGCAGTAGTAACAAGGGACTTAGTCCGCTGCACTAATTTACGCATCAATGGACAATCATGTCTATCGACTATAGTAGTTACGGCGTAAAAGTGGAACAAATAAACAAACAAACAAACTCACTTTCCGATTTATTATATTAAGTAAGGATATATAGTAAGGATAACACACATATGTACATGCACTTTACCAATTGTGCCTCGTCGGCTACATTAGCTGGATTGACACAAACATGCTGCTTGTTACTGCACTATCGAGATGCGTATCAAACGCCTTTGGGCTACTGTTTTCGAATCATCGTCCTGGATCTAAAGTATTCATGGAAGTGAATTTTTGCGGCTGTTTGTACTATATACTGGTTATAATACCATTGTCGGTGTTACTGCTCAGCATTATATTTCACACAGGCAATTAATCTACTGAGTTATTAAATTGAAAATGTTTAAATGAGAGCGTGAAATCTGGGTTAAAAATGTTACTTAGCATGCATTCACCCTGATCACGGGACACACAACGACATAATTGTATACTTAGGATCAAATCACATAGTTGATTCACACATTTCAGTATAAGCTAGCTATGTAATTAAATAAAAAAATGTATGAATTAGATATCTAATTGTTACCAATATCAAACTAAAATTTGGTTTCGATTATCAAATTTCAAAATCAAAATTCTCAGTAGTAGCACGGAGTCTGGAATTGTGCCCGGTATATGGCAATAGGCTCATCCCCTATTTCATGGGACTCTAACACAAATAGTGAAAAGTAGGTGTTATATTGTACAGTGGCATAATGTGCACCTCTGCCTACGGCTGCCTTTCGGGGATAAAAGCGTGTTATGATGATCAAACTAAAATCCTCAGACTCATCAATATAATAATCTTTAAGAGATACACAGTTTTTATACTCTCACCAATGTGCATCAGTTTTTTGTCTATTTCTCAGGTACGTCATAGTCGTAATACAATATTAATCTCCATTAAGAATTACACTATCGATTGCAAAAACAAACTCAACTGCGGTAGATTAATGCGTTCAAAGATAAATAAAACAAACTCTTAGTTTTATAGTTCTAGACTTCTAGATAGGTATCAGTCTAGACGAGGATAAAAATAGGATGCACTAGAAATGTACAAAGTGTTAGTAAGTATTACGCATCTAATAAAATCAGTAAGTTTTAGTGAAGATATATCTTCGCGATTTTGCAGATATTAAGATTTGTCTTTTTCCTTTTTTGTATTTTTTAATACCTATGTTATATCTTATATCTGTAATGTCGGGATACTGAAACGCTACTCAATTTAAGTCGTGCTTAAGTATAGTTCTATCTCTACAAATTCTTTGTAAAATGACAGAGATGGCACGATATTTGAGCACGACATAAAATTGAGTAACGTTTCAGTATTCCGGATAAGTAATGTAACCTGCGTCGCTTCGTTTGTTTTCCAAAAAAATATAGGTAAACTTCATGTCATTCGTCTGCTTTGAATCACATTTTTCATAACCTTTACATAAATGACTAGATTACAATTTTAAACTAGTTTAACAAACAAATAAAAATCAATTGAACTACATTTGACAAAAAATACCCATTCAAAAAGTGAACACGATCTAAAAATCAATCAATCACAACGCAACCGCTTCTAGTACACTATGATCCACGCGACCGTTTCTCGGGTGTAAATGGGTGCATAATAAGCGACCATTCAAAATCAAGCAGACGCATTCCGGCCGGTATAATAGGAATTCTTTACTATACACATGTTTGTTAGTTCGCGTGTGTGTTCGACATTTGTATGGGATCCTTGAATAATGATTTACAATGTATTCGGTAGGAATAACGCTCAGCTTTCCGTTGTTATCGAAAGATTTTTATCGGTCCGGACTTGTTTGCGGTATGAAAATCTGGTTTCTGGACCTTCTTTTTGGAGGTGACTTGTGTAGATTGGTGCGTTAATTGGTGTATTGTAGACTGGGTGAAGAGTGTGGTGGTTTTAATAGGTACAGTGTCATAACTTAGTGGTGCATCTAGCAATTCATAACAATGGTCGTGTCATTTACACTTATCTAATCTAGAACTCAAACAGTGAAATGAAAAATTAAATTTCACCAAAATAAATAACACCAAAATAAATCTAGATAACATTGTAATGTGGTAGCTTAAGTACCAACTTAAACCACAAATTATACTTATAATCTTTAACATGATAAATAATTTCATACAATTTTTCCAATAATTATCTTAAACACTATAAATTACGTGTTTAAAGTGACACAAAAATCATATTGTGGTACAAATTCGTGTTATTACGAGAATCTGTATCGTATCGAGCGATCGCCGATATATCGAACACGATCGATGGCGATACGATCGATCGATTGTGTATTAATGGTGCATTTCCACTTTGGGTAATTTTTATTTGGGAATAATGTGGTAATACCTGTGGTGAGGCACGCTTAAAAATATTATTAGTCTGTATGTAAATGCCTTATCGACGATAAGTTTCACTAGTTTCAAGTCACACTTTTTTTTAAAAAAGGGAAAATCATCCAATGACTTCTCCCGCCTTAGGTAAGGCGAGAGAAAGTGTCAGACTCCTACTGACTAAACGCCACCCTTTTCGTACCCCTGCATTTCTAACCGGAGCCCCGGTAACCCGTTAAGTGCCGATTTTTCCAAAGCCAGATAAATTTAAACTGAGGAATGACTTTGAATATTTGACAATTCTTCCACACTAAAAACTGTCAATTGTCAATTTTATTCTACAGTTAAGTATTAGCTGATGTTTGAAAAATCGGACCGAAGTCTTCCGCAGCGGAATGCTTACTTTTGACCAACGTGTTCGGCACGGTGACGTCTTAAAGCCAAGTGATAAAACTATATGTTTGTTGTAGTTAGATATACGTATAAGTTTATTCCATGAAGTTTGGTTTTTAGGGAAAAGTAAATGAAAAATAAATTAGTAATATTCTGTTCCATAGTATATTAGTTATTTGTCAAAAGATTTCCAATTAACAAATGTGTTGTTATGTTATTATTTACTTTAAAATTACAATAAATAATAACATTTCATTTTAGGAAATTACTCAACTGTAATGATAACAAAAGAACTGTTACGTTGCCTAATTGTATTTAAATTTATACAACAAAAGTATAAACATTTCTTTCATTAAATGAGTTTTCCCGATTGAACTTTATACTTTACGTGGGAGTGCAGACAAGTTCGGTTTTTCGTTCTTTCACGGTTTATTCCTATTTTTCTCTGACGTTTGCTTGGTTTCCCCGAAATCCGTAGTTGGAATTTATTGGTGTAGGAAACGTCAGACAGACACTAACACTGAATGAAAATATTTGTACAGTTAAATAAAGATTGTTATTGGAAAATTATTTATATAACTGACATTGTAACTAAGTGTGGAATGTTTTTATAACAACTATCGTGAGACATACTAAATTAACCAAAAATCGCGGGTTACTCACGTGAATATACTGAGGAAAGCTGTACTAGTTTCGAACTAGAGAGGGGTATCCTGCGCGATATCTCCGGGACCGCGCACGCTGCTTATGAGGAAGAACATCTCTGTGGTTCGAAATTAGTAGAGCTTTTCTCAGCACTTGTATTTATTTCTTAACCAATAAATTTCCATTACCTTGAAACATAACTGTATTTACTTCAGTTAACTTACGCTACATACAATTTGTGTATCGAATTATAATAATAATTATGGGTTAAGTAATCACAATCGTAATGTATATTAAACAACGAGATGACAGATCCTTGTCAGCAAAACCAGACATATTGCCACCACATTTGTTATCCTACATCCGTAAATGTTTTTTTCTATTCCCGGAACCAACTTTACACACAAGAAACACTAAATTACATGACGTCACTACGACGTCACAGCGCTCCAAATATTTACGTAACCCGAATGAAAAGTGACGCGATGGGAAGATACCGTGCATCACTCGCGACTCCTGCGCACCTGTATTCAATATGGCGGTAATGGTGATTTTCGTTCACTTACAGTAATGTACTTGGGGTGATTTATTACGTGTTTCCTGCTTACAGCTTGCAGCATGTATTTATTTCCTTGAAAAATGGACACTGTTTGTGCTGTTACTTGGTTTGAGTACAGTGCTACTTGTTTTAATTTTATTCCAATGATTTTTTTTCGAAAACATTCCAATGTGATTTTACCTAATTAATGGTGTTTTAACTCATCATTAAGAGCCTAAGTCATAATAAATTTTACGAATGATCATTAAAATAAAAGAGCTGAGAATTGTTAAGTTCAGAACTGACTTTGGAGTCAGCAAGCGCCTACTAATCAGACTTAATACTCATGCTCACATAGATAGCAAAATCCCAGTACATCTACAAAAGGCAAGCAAAATAAGTATGTACCTATACGTACCATCATTAAAATTAAACACAAAACCATATAGTCAATGTTTATCCGTGGCTTACAAAGCTCCATTCTATTATTGTACAAAGCAACATCTCGAACAACGCAGTAATAGTTAATTTACAGTTAGCACAATAATGAGGTAACTGTAGCATTGTGACGTCACAACTTAGTAAATAAACTGTAACGTCCAAAAACGGTGCAGCGACCGATTGTGGCCAGCGGACACTTAATGCCACCCTGTTGTACTGGGTGCAGAATAAATAAACTAGGACATTTTTGCTTTAACATTATTTGCTTCAACTTTATTATGTATCTACCTGTGATCTACAATGAATAAATGAATTTGAATTTTGAATTTTTTTTGGAAATTGCTTTCATTAGTTGTAGGTTTCTGGCTAGATCTAACTTTCATTTATTTTTGTTAAAAGACCAAACTAATATTGCTACAATTAGAAAACTTATTCCTAAAACGGTAAATGTTACTTTTAAGTTTTCAAGTTAAAAGCACCGACCACGTTCTTACTGCATCACCTAAAGGTTAGGTTAGGTTAGTAAAAATATCCATGGCATTATGCCCACCCTTGTACTCCAGTTGCAAAAAGTAAAATAAATGAAAAAATACAATTACAATTTAAAAAAAAACATTTGTCGTTGTCACTATTGGCCATAGTTGCATTATTCACTGTTCCAAAATTAATTTATGAAGTTAATGACTACGAAGAGAAATAAATACTACCCACTAAAATTCAATAATTCTTGACTTCTACGAAACAACAAAATACAACCTACAAAGCTAAATAATTAAAGAATAATGTCACTGTAATCGATATTCCGAACAATATAGGAACAAAACAAACTAAACCAAACAACGCACCAATGAAAAAACGACTTAAACATACAATAAATAAATCTCGTTTTTTACTGACCGTGCGTAGTTATCAGATGCACAGAAGAAAGCCGAATGCGTTAAACGGTAGTTAGTTAAGCACAATTATTATTATTTAGTGCGTCGGCGAATAAAGGCAACGCCTACGCTCGCTAGTCGCGGTCGAATAGTGTGGATGCGGCGTTTAGAAGTTACAGATTAACTATGAATTTAATGTTTGAGAGAACCATGCTTCGGCACGAATGGGCCGGCTCGACCGAAGTGATACCACGGCCTCAACGGATACCGGCGTGAAACAACACTTGCGTTGTGTTTCTTTATGTGAGTGAGGTTGCCGGAGGTTCAATTACGCCCCTCCCCAATCTTCCCCATCCCCTAATCCCCAATAATCCTTAATAATGTTCTTTTAATGTTAGAAGTAAAAGATCGTTAGTTTTGTAGTCACACTGAGATCCTGAGTTGGATTTCTTAGGGTCAAAAAATTAACATATGTTTTTCCATCATCAAATTAAGTGTGTAATATGCCTTTACTTTTGTTGTAGGTCCGTTACATCTTATTATTATGGAACTTCTCTTTTCTGGTACATGCAAAATTGACCTGTTTGTAAATTAAACCACTCTTTCTTCTAAGTCACTGCAGACAAGAGTAAAACTTACAAAAAGCCTTCAAAAACATCTACCATATCCACTCTATTCTAACAGCAACAGTAACGACGATGGTATCGGCGCCTGCGCACCCGTCCCTGGAAATCATCCTATGTAGGTATTTATTAACAATTGTGCTGCTTTGATGCGCACGATACCAACTAATTACCTATGTGATTTATCTTTGTGACGTCACAATGCCTTGTATGTATACAATAGATGTAGACATATGTCTGTGTATGTGTGCGTATGTGCGGTGGTAACAATAGATTCGTGTGCGTATATGTGTACGTGTAGTGATTTTGACTGAGTAATGTTTTGGTGGTAGTCTTTTGTTATTATGCAATACTGGTATATTTTGAGAGTGTGATTCATGAAAATGTTTGTTCTATAGTAAGAAAACTAATTGTCGGTGTAGTAAACCCTCTTTTCTTAATCAAATTATTATAGTAAAGATGACTGTGTATGCTCAGAGTATTTAAGTAACATACTCTAAGCTGTGTGTGTTATGAATGACAGTTTTCTTTGAACAGTGAGTTTTGGAATCAACATAAAATTGTTCTTAAGTAAGGAATCAAATTAATAATTATGATTTCGGCTTAAATACGTAACTGTTTGACAAGGAACTCGACTAGTTTTAAAAGAATTAAAGAATCAAACAGTCTACACGACAATCAACTAAATCTTAATCCAAAGCGCGATAAGCATTTGACAACACTACTAACTAAACCAACATAGCTGTCAGCTAAGTACAAGTTGAGTACAAAACGCCGTTTTCTGAAAACTCCTGAAAATTGATATTATGAAAGCCTCGAACACATTTTCGCACACTTACACCCCCATACTACTTAAGGTCTGTCTGCGAAGTATAACGCGGTAAGTAGCACCTAGACGTTTTTACGCCACAGCGCTAAAACACAGTAAGTGCACAGTTTCAGCAACACCTGTGCTCCGTGCTAGATTTGAGTGGCAACCTGAACTTTTATATAAAGTGGTTTGAAGCTAAAATGTGTGATTTTGTTAAACCTAGACTTTTGGTGCTTTGTGAAAATTTAATTAAGAGGTTTTTTAGTCTTACGGCTGACAGCTGGTTTTGATCGTTAATGAAAGTTTTTATGATTTAGTTGTTGCTAGGGTGACTGCAAACGTGACCTGAGGTACGATGGTAAAGATATTTTATTTGTTGGTTATTTTAAATTAACTAAAAATCGCGGGTAACTCATATGAACATATTGAGAAAAACCTACTGATAGGCTGCGCGACATCGCCGCGACCGCGCACGCTGCTCCAGAACTGCTGAAGAACCCCTCTTTTATTCTAATTGCTTGGTATAGTAACAATCCGAAGTTGTTTGGTGTCGATAGGCATATAAAAGCAAAATCCTTAAACAAAACTTGTGTGTTATTTGTTAATTTTAGAACAAATCAATGTTATAATATAACTGACAAACTCGTTCACTCTTACACACAGCTTGTTCCTAAAAATGTCCAGCGCGATGTACACAGATGTACACAATTCGACTGGTAAATCGTCATACAATTTGTAACTTCGAGTCTTTCGCACGATTCATTACTTGATAACACACAGCCATTTGTTTTTATCCACAAATCTACAACCAGGTGGTTTGTAATCAATATGCAAATGAAACTGTAAAACAATAATAGCTTTTCAACAGGTTATTGGTGATTTAGTTAATGTTTGTCCTGATTTCTTCGATTCAATTAAAAATTCCATAAGACTTTAATGCAAAAAATATTTTTGGATAAGATTAAGATGCACTACATTTGTATGATTTGACACATCATTTCCTTTTCGCGATTTGAAAGAGTTATGACAAAACTTTGCCTATACATCTAATCGTCCCACCAAACTCCGGTAATGCCCGCGTCTATTCTGGTGTTGTCCAAGCCGACGCTTACTGTCAAGCGAAACTCTCTATCCCATTAAATATATCGAACCACAAGTGGCTGCGTGTAATAGAACAAAGAGATTTTAAACATCATTTTCTTGTCCACAGGATGAACCAGCATCTTCAGGAGACAGTGGAGACGAGAGTGGCAGTGAACCAGAGTCACCGAGTGAGAAGCTGCTACAGGTACACAAGCAAGAGTGGACCTGTGATAGCAATGAACGGGAAACCAAAAATAGGTATGACATTTTGAATTATTTTGAAGTCGTTATAGATGTAGTAAATGGGTATAAAATTATAGCTTCAGGTCAACTACCATCACAACAATTTGTAGCAAAATAATCACAATCGATTTATAATAAAAGTAAAAATAATTTTAGCAGTTTGGAGTAACTTAATGTTTCTGTTCTCAAAACGATGAAGGTATTTGGTGATATACTATTAATCGTAGATCAGTTTTCACGTTTCACAAGACTTAAACATCCCAAATACAGGAAGAAGAAAGTAATGCATTCTTGAAACCGAAGTGGTGTAGAGACAATCATTACACAAACATTATTTTCTGTATATAAACATAATGTTTTGTTTTTCAGAGAATCCCACAACGACGCACTAGCTTCCACATCATCCACTACTCAAGAAGCTGACAGCAGCAAGCCATCGTTGCCCAAACTGATGCCCAAGATTGAACAGATGCCTGGAGGAGCTATGCTGTATCCTGGCGTCTTGGCTGGCCTGGACGGCATCAGTAGTAACCTTGGACTGGGCAATCTGGCCATGGGTTACCCACACGGATTTATATTGGGACTGGCTAATCAGGGTCAAGAAGGCGGTGAGTATGGTTTTCAAAGACTAAGTTGAAGTTGTAATAATGAAGAATGTAAGATAGTTCGTTGAGTATAACGCCACTCGTTTCGAGTTATGCCAAAAAATAAAGTCATGAACATTGTGTTACAAACGACAAACTTTACCTTATCTTTGTAAATCCTACGTAGTAGTCAATACGTTCTCCTAGTCATAGTTTCTATTTTCTTACAATGGTTATTTCATCTTTAGCGTCATCATCAAGCCAACCTCAGTTCATTACTATCCCGCTGTCGATGGCGATGGCGGCGGCTGCCGGCGCGCCCACTGCCACCGTCACCAACGGCTGCGGAGCCAGCGCCTCCAGCGACGACAGCAGCGAACTACAAGACTTGAGCACCGGCAGAAAGTGACGCGGGACTACGGTATGAGACTATATTTTACCTGACGTACCAAAATGTCGTTTTCATTCAAATATACCTAAGTCTTTAGAAATAAAACCTATAATCCTAAAATACACAAGTTCAAAACTTACTTACAGTTTAAAATAATTATAATCATTAGGTATTTGATACCCAAAAACCCGGCGCACTAAATTACTTATTTTCATACTGTACTAATGTAAAATATTTCTCATTTTCTTTCAGATTACTCGTGCATACGCAGGAGATCGTATATGTATCAATATAAATCTTATGATAATAAAAAAAAATTAAAAATGTATGTACCAAAGTTTATATTTGGACTCCTAGCAATAACAAGCTATATAGAATTGTTGGTAGGTAGGTAGACATAATCAAAATCAAAGTGTATTTTCATTTGTCAGTTTTTCCATCATAGGGCCTTGGTGTGATTGCAAGCGAGTAGCGATCTAGATTTTCTTTTGCCGCTATATCACTTATGACTTATGAGATTACCGCATACATTCTCTAATAAGGGATAAATAAAAAAATTATGTTTTTAAAATAACTATCGTGAGACATACTAAATTAAATAAAAATCGCGGGTTACTCACGTGACTATACTGAGAAAAGCTCTACTAGTTTCGAACCACAGAGGGCTTCTTCCTCATGAGCAGCGTGCGCGGTCGCGTCGATGTCTGTAGTAGGCTGCGCGACATCTGTTTTAAAACCCTATTTGATTAGGTCACCATGATTGTATGTACTACCAGGTTGTGCAATCATTTAATTGCAGACAATCAAATCAACTGTAGTTTTTTGTTCTGATGTCTCTTTTTGACGCCATTAAAGAATAAAATTAATATTGGCTTGTTGTTGTAGTCGCAATGAACGGCACTGTTTCTATATCGTCACTCGTTTGCAACTAAATCCCTTGATCTGTTTATAAAATAAAATGGTGATGGAAATATTATATGTGACTTAACTTTTGTTGCAATGCATGTACTTGCCAATTGCCAAACAAGTCAAAATGACTACGAAATGTTATAAAATCGTGTATTTGTGTAAAATCAAGGACCTTAATTTATTACACTTAGGTATGTAGATATTAATAATAATAAATTAATATTGTTTGTGTAAAAATAACAGAATATATTTGCGTATTTTTGTACCAAACGTAAATACTTAATAAAATGTAAATTCAAGGTTTTTACCTAACACTGATACACTTGTTTGATGCGCATTTTATATGTAAACTGAGTTCTACCGTACTGTAGTTTTTTATTTTCTTTCTCTTTAGCACTTTGTTTATTTTTAGTTGTAATTAAATTTATACGGAAGCGGGTAGGTTTTGAGAAATGAGGTAGTTTCTATTTAGGAATTAAAATAATTATATCGAAAGTTCTTACCTCGTGTTTAAAGTACTTATTACTTAGCTTTTTCATTATACATAATCAATTTAATATAAGTTTTTAAAGCAATTTACTTGTAGGTACGTAAATGCTTTAGTCGTCATATCATTAATGTAATGCTAAGAGCATGATTTTATAAAAAAAAATAAAAATCTCATAATAAAATTTATGATACAACGTACCCGCTTCCGCTACCTCTTAAGCGTCCGCTGTCATTGCGACCGCGGCCCTATCGTCACTATCATGGAAGCATTTATACTTATGTTTTTTTTTTTTAATTTACAGTATTTTAATTTTTCCTTTCTTCGAGACTACGGGCTATTAGAGTTTTCATTAAAAAAAATACTTTGTGTGTAGTATGTTTGTCCCATTATCAGAGTAGTGGCAAGCAGGATGGCTGACCTCCATGGGTTCGATTCTCAAACCAGGCAAAGTTATATTTAATGTTATAAAACTATATTAACGATTTTACAAATGCAAGAAAATACGTATATTCAGACTGCTAAATAATATCTCGAAACAAGTATTAAACATGATCACAGTATTATAATATGTATACTAGTCAAAGTTTCACGTATTTTCTTGTGTATAAAAAAATTACTGCGAAGTCAAATTGTTTGAGTTTTCTACTAAACAATTAGTTATTTTTTATTGCCACTATTAATACGTAAAATATTAGACAGGCCTTTGTGATCACAGTATGTTGGTATTAAAACTTTCTTGAGACATACTAACTTAATCATTATGTTTTCGACTTACTCACGTAACTGTGAGCTCGACTAGTTTCAAGCTATGCTAGAGGCTCATATCCATAAGCAGCATTCCGCGACCCTCGACGCGGTGGTTGTCGCATTGCTACTGGCCACTCGGGTCTGCTGTAAGCTTCTAGCATGGCTTGAAACTAGTCGAGTTCCTCATCAAACCTTCACTAATATTTTTTATGAAAATTTTTATACAACCGTAGGTACTCATTGATTATGTACCTGTCTTATATGGACATTAATTCATCATACCTAAAATACCTTGATATCTTCTTTCATAATGTTAATTTATATTCTCGTCCTAAAATACTTTTACGTATTTTAAAATTACTCAATTTGTATTTCGTCGAATTTGTATTTTGTCGTTATTGTATTTCGCCTGTAGTCTCTGTTTCGTACATCGATCAAGTCAATAACAATGGCTTAACTGATTTTTTCATAATGTAATATATAAATGTTCCTTTTGTTTCGATTTTTTAAAATAAAATTAAATAAAAATTGTTTTGTGTTTCTTTTTCGACTGATCCCAAAATCATATCATAACATAACATCACGCCTTTTATAGCCGAAAGGGTAGGCAGAGGTGCACATTATGCCACTGTACAATGTAACACCCACTTTTCACTATTTATGTTTTGAGTACCAAGTAATAGGGGGTGAGATCCTAAAATCAAACACTGAATATCCCGATATTCTGCTAACCAGGTGACTCGTTACAGATTTTTTAGGTTTTTTTATTAACCGTGACTATTATAAAAATGTTTGTATGATAATCTGAACCAACAGTTAAAATATGAGTCATAGTTTTCAAGAATCCAGAATATTTCGAAACAGTCATAATCACATCCATAAACGAACCTCTGTCATTAGCACATAATTACTTAATCCATTGATAAGTTACTAACCCTTAATGTCAATCACTGTCACATCTTAACACGCCACGACTTTTAACACAAAAGATAATTCAGAAAAAAAGTCATAACATTCAATTCGTGAACAGTTTAAATGCAACCAAAAGACGCTAGCCGCCATGACATCAATACTGAATACTAATCAATTTACACAGCACAATAAAATTGATACACAATTAACTCTGGCCCACAAAAAATCGGTAATCATAGCCAATCCACTCTTCGCACAAAAACTTCGAGATGGCCAATTCGTTCGCAAAAAATTCAAGTACAACACTAAAAAAACTAAAACCAGTTTCGTAAGACCTACAACTACGTACTAGTATTTCGAAATTCCTTGGAAATGACAATGAGGATTCTTGTACAGGGATCAAGTGATATTGGTAATGATATTTGGCTCAGGCACATAGCGTCAACATTTTATTAATTCGGTATTTAATAACATATCAAGTGAATGCTGATTGGCTGTCAACTGGCCAATCAGCTCGTCCGATTTGTAATCAATAAGCTGGTCGATACTATGAAATAGTGGAGTCGAGAAAAAAGCGCAAACGCCTATTTTATTATATATTTCATTGTTGGCTTCCCGTTCTTGAGATGACGCTTGCACGATGCAAAAAGTATAAAATTTTATTAATATTTCTAGGCACTCATTAATGCAGTGAATTAATAATTTTTAATAGCATTCTTTTATTCAGCTGGTTTTTGTTTGCGATCTAAGATTTATAAAAATGTTAATTGTTTTAATTATAGCTATTTTCTGGTTGCTTTGTGTCATTCCATAGATTATCTATTTCAGTATCATCTCATCTAATCACTCCATCTTTAATTATTTGATCTTTCAATAGAAACACGAATATCTAATACAAATATATAAAATCTCCAATAAATATAGCACGCCGTCTCCACAGTATTCATGTGCGCATTTGACAAGTTCCTAAGATGGCGGTCATTACATATTCAAGTGTTACCATGTCAGGCGTGCTGAACATGTGTGCACTTGTTAATCACTGTACAAGTCTACGACCAATGAACTGAGCTGTTTACTCAGTACTTCTAATGTTACTTTGTTACTAATTGTGGCTGGTCTTTAAAAAGGCATAAATTGTTGTTGAAATATTGGAGATTAATTTGATTGGTGTTTCATGTGTTGTGTATTCATCTGTCCCAGATATGCTATTGCAAGGATTAAAAATATATATTTTTTTAATTGGTACAAGCCCGCCACAACCCCCCAAAACTGCTGCAACTCCTGTAAGCCAGGATCTACAATAGATACAACCATGAAAACACCGGAACACTGAAGTCTGGCGCGTCCTAGGGATATAAATAACTGTCTTGGTTCCCGCAGCGCAGTGCATCAGAAGATATTATAAGAGGCGAAGAAAAAAACGATAGTTTCCACTAAAAGCAGAAAAAAGAGACAACTGGGTGAAGCCCAGTCGCCAAGCATCACGAAAAATTGACTCAATACTACACTTAGTACCTTGGTCCTATGTGTGTGAGCTGTTATATTTGTTTCGAGGATTTAACGGCTATCTATGTTTTGAACCAACAAAAAAAGTATGCGGTATTTCTTCAAGGGGAAATAATGGAAGCAAGAGTTGTGAAAATAAGACTAAAATGTCTTCACAATTAACAATATAAAACCGACAGAACTGACACCGAACTTGACACTTCCTTTCGCTACCGCCAACCAATTAAAAAGAAAACTTATTCGTTCACCAGTAAATACTACAACACAACAAAATAAATTGCAAATTCACCAAGAATAGCAAATAAATGTCGCCTAAGTACTAATTGAATACGTCGAACGGACTATTGTCATTAGTTAAGGACACAAGTCTTTAGTACGGGCATTTTAAATGGACAAACGGTTCGAGAGAAAAATGCCCGACACAACATTACTTCCACGTTCCTTTAGCAAAAAG